TGCTCCCTCTATTTATAGGCAAGATGTTTGGGAACAAGAGCTGATTAGGTTTGTAAGGCAGCATGTTATGGTTTGGTTGGGATGCAAATATCAAACTATGTCAATTCTCCATAGTCCCAAGATGAAGTACCAAAGTTACTGGTATAGAGGGGCTACTTTCCATGATTTATGGTGGAGTAAAATAAGAAGTAAACAAGGTATGGGCTCAAGACAAATTTTGTACCAACAAGCTTGCTTTTCAAGAATAGCAATGGTAACTTTTTACCTTAAATGGCAAGTTATTTGGATAATGGTTTGTATCTTTTGGGTAATGGTTCAAGATTTTGTGTAAACATTAAATTATGGAGAGATTTGCAAGCAAGAAGGCATGCAACATAAGATTATGCAGCATAACATGTAGATTGGATCATGTGTTCTTCACCAAAAAGACTTGTAATTCAAGGATGGATGCACAACTTCATGCCCTTGAATCTCCTAGCTCAAGTATGATAAATTCATGCTCTTGGATGTTTTGGAAAGCTTGAAATATCCTCTATAATTTCATGTTGGACATTTTGGCAAAATCATATTGGAACTATGTGAAAAAATGCCAAGAAGTTGGGATAAAATCTTGAACAAAATCTGTTGAAAATTTCTCTAAGTGTTATATGAAAATGTCATGACTTCACGGGCTTATATCTTCAAATTTAAACATTTTTTGGACATAAAACTTCTAATACAAAGTTATATAATTCATCAAGATCTACAACTTCCATGTTGAAAGTTTTCTTTGGATCATCTTGCATCTTGGTGAAAAATTGGTATGAAGTTATGAAATAAACATGTATAAAACACTTAGAAAAATTTCTAAGTCTTGGAAAGTTTGACTTTTTAAATTGACTTTTGACTTTCTTGACTTATTGATGATCAAACTTGATATTCTTGAATGTCTTGATGAATTTTGATCTTTGAAACTTAATGTTGACCAAAAAGTCAAAGTTTGACTTTTGGTGTATCAGTTGACTTTTTCATCAGTTGACCAAATTTCATCTATCAATTCAATGATCTTGAGAAATGTTTTGAGCCGTGAAATTAGATCAAAATGATTTCCTTGAATCCTTGAAATTATGTTTCAAACCAATAAGTCATGTATTAAGTCAAAAGTCAAGAATCAAGCCTTCTCAATCAAAACCCTAATTTAGACCATTTTGCCCTTTTGATAATTTGAGTAATTTTCTTGGGGAATTGTGATTCAAAATTGATCAGATGATACATATGAGTTCAAAATGTTGATATGAGTCAAAAATCTTGAAGTTTTACTGTAAGTTGACCATAATTGACTTTTTACTCAACACAGTTGATTTTAGGTCATCTGATCAATTGATTGAGCAAACTTGAACTGCAAGACTTGAAACTTGATATGAGAAATATTAAAGTCCATAATGATCCATAAAAGTCATATGAGGCACTAAAAATCTAATTGTCCTTGTGAAAACTCAAACCCTAATTTGAGGCATCAGTGTTGAGGAGATGTCTTGACGTAGTCAATCTTTGTGCAAGCTTGAGCTATTGAAGACCTTGTGGGAAATGTATTGAGAAATGAGAGGGAAAATTTTTGGGTACAAAAGTATGCTTGTATGAACATTTTTGATACTCTAATGTTTATTATTTTTGAGTATTTAACAAACAAGTTCTGCTTTTGATGGATGACGTGACCAAGACATTAGAAGAGAATAAGTTCCGCTTCTGCGCTACACAAGTTCTGATGAACAGTAGCAAGACACTCCAGAAGACTCTGAAGTGTAGGCTCTGATATGAGGTATAAAGAAACCAGTCAGAAGATCTAAAGATAGAAGTTTCTACTTATGTTCAGATTCTAAAGACTCATGTTTCTGAAGAGAACGTGTTCTAAAGAAACCAGTTAGAAGATCTGAAGACACAAGTTTCTACTGAAGTCCAGATGCTGAGGACTAATGTTTCTGAAGACAAAAGATTCTCAATACCAAGTGATCAAGATTCTGATAGACGAAGTTCTAAAGATTCTGAAGACTTGAAGTTCTAAAGACCCATGATTCTAAGAAAAGGTTCTCATGATCAAGTGCTGAAGACTTTGAAGACGCAATTCTGAAGACTCTGAAGACTTGAAGTTCTGATGACCCTGCGTTATGTTCTCGCTTTTAAACTCATGTCTGCAGAAGCCTCTGAAGTGAATAAGGAAAGAAGATAATGTTAACATGGTAAAAATAGTACATGGTACAATCAACGTTTCATTCCACTACCATGAAAGGACAGAAACGTTGCACGATCTTGTCCCCCACGTGATTGCTCAAGCTGCCAATGTTTCTAATCCCAAGAGTACCCCTCAATAGATATATTATTTTATTGGCTATATAAAGGCTTGAAGACTAAGAGAGAAAGTCGTGAATTTTTACCGAATATCCACGCACAAGCACTGTTCATAGCTTTCACTTTTTTAGTCTACTGTTCTTAAAATAGTTTACATATTTAGCTTGTATAGAAGCAATACTATTGTAAACAAAACTTGTATTCAAACAGTTGTTTGATTTCCTTAAGGGACCAGATAGGTATGTATCCTTAAGAAGTCTAGGACTAGTGTGTTTTAGAGGTTTTATTTTCCTTAAGGGACTAGTTAGGATATCCTTTAGAAGTCTAGGACTAGTGTGTCTTAGAGGTTTGACTTTCCTTAAGGGACCAGTTAGGTTTGTATCCTTAAGAAGTCTAGGACTTGTGTGTCTTAGAGGTTGTTAATCACTTGCGGGTAGCTTGTGCATTATAATAATCAGTTGGATTATTGGATTAATTCCTCGATTGAGAGAGGCGAAATCACCTTGGTGGATGGACTAGACTAGCTTGATAGTTTTCAAGTGAACTAATATAAACATTTCGTGTTCTTTACTTCCTGTTCTTAATTATTGTTATTATCAAGAGTGAATGAAAAAGTATTTTAATTAAAGGGAAACATTTTTAAAAGAATTTTTTTGATTTAAAACCCAATTCAAACCCCCCATTTCTTGTGTTTTTTACACATTCAGGTTGAATTTGGTGAATTTTAATATTGATTTGTTTTGGAAACGAGACAATGGTTGTTATGGTTAATGGCATGGTCAAGACCCAAATATGGCCTCCAGATAAACTGTAGAGGAAAAATATATTATTAGATTAGTAAAATGTTAATGTTAAAAATAACATAATGAGATGATGAGTAGTTTAGTTGTAATATGCATTATGGTCCAAGGTGATCTATAAGATTGTGATATGGCATTATACAATGTTTAAAATATTTGTTGTAGTTCATCCCTCGTACAAACCACCTATGCCAAAATAATGAAAATTAATTATTTACAGTTATTTATAGTATAAAGTAAGTAATTTTAAATAATGTTATAAATTTATTTTGTCGCGTAGGGAAATGCGAAGCCGTTCTCGTTGATGGGGGTTAGTGATGACATTCTTGACAAACCTCATGCTAAGCTTGTAGAAAAACATTACAGGAACAAAATGAACAAGTATTCTTATATGTGTTTTTACACAAAGAACTATATAGATGAGGAAAAATAACTGGACCCCACATATATGTTTCTATTTTACTTATGCCACTTAACAAAGGTAAATACATAATATTTACAATATCACCGGTAGTTTCAGGAAAAAGAAAATGGCCAAATAATATCATAATATAACATCTAATTTTAATTATTTTATCACTCTCAATTGAATCTTCAGTTAATATCATATATGAATTGGTTTTAAAGTACTTTAGATTAATACCTTGCCCCCTCTTCGTTTCTTCAAACAAACCAACATCCAAAAGTTGCTCGCATATTGCAGTGTCTTGGTTGACTCAACTATTAACAACCTTACCTTCGATACATAGACTCAACAACATGTATTCGAACCGAAATGGATACGACAAACAAAAAGGTAAGATTATGCAGTACATGTTGTCAAATCGAACACAGTCGAAAGTTTTTTTCCAATATTGGAGCAAGCTCCACAACATAATTATTGTATGCACTATTGATATGTAATTTATTTTTTGAAACCATGAAATCTCTTATTGAATTCAACTTTTATTTCATATCAAACACAACTTTCGGTTACAACAAAACAAACACAAGCACACATAAAACAACAACACGAAAACAAATCAAATGACTAAACCCGACAATATATCTAGAAGATTATAACCATAAAGACAATATCATCTGATCCATACTTCATAACACGATAATCATTATTAGTTTTAACTGACTCCCACACACGATGTAATATATTACAGCTGAAAATCGTAACAAGCCTATCAATTCTTCTAATCTTTTCACTGTCTTGAATGTCTCCGTCTAACCAACATATCAAGCTCCTCTCAAGATGTTCGAAAGTATAAGTGTTTCAAAGTCGAATCTTCATCGGAGGTTACAATGGCGAATAAAAAGATGTGCATTTTTTTAATAATGTGAGACATTTTGAAGAAATTCTTAGGAATGAAATGAGAAGAAGAGTGACAAATGGTCGAGAGTGAATGATCTATTTATAAATAAAAAATACTACAATGCATGCGCCAGACCTCTTAGGGCAACAATGTATGCACCAATCAAAATGACACATATGTATTACAGACGATGGTTAAAGTAACGTCTAAGTATATTTTTATGTGCATGTGCCACAAGCAATGACATCTCTTTCTTCTTACAATTTTTTTATTTGAAACATGGTTACTTTAATAAATAATTAAAAATATTAGCTATTTAAATATTTTATTTTAAAAAATTGATTATTTGAAAAGAAAAAAAATCTACTTTTGAATTTGAAATAGGTAATTGTTTGGTTAAAACTTAAAATTGCTAAAAGAAAATTAAAATAGGCGCACAAATTTTAAAGTAGGGAAAAGAAAATCCAATCAAGGAAAGAAAAAGCGGGATTATTAGGAAAAACTCCGTGTTGCAGAAGTACTCACTAGGGTTGCGTCTTCTTGCAAACAAGAGCACAAGGGACGATCGATCATGGCGAGAAAACACGAAGGACGTGCTGTGGGAATAGACCTTGGAACAACCTACTCATGTGTTGCAGTATGGCAAGAACAACACAGTAGAGTAGAGATTATTCACAACGATCAAGGGAACAATACCACACCTTCTTTTGTTGCTTTCACTGATAATGAAAGGTTGATTGGTAATGCCGCCAAGAATCAGGCTGCTACCAACCCACAAAACACCGTTTTTGGTAATTTCATTTCTTTACTTTACTTCTTTCAATTTTTACATGTTAGAAAACTATCTAAGTTGGAAACTTTGGGAAACATTTGTTGAAAGTGTCAATGGGATAAACCCTCAGAGCCTAACCATGACTCCGATACCATTTGTTAAAACAACGATTAGTATAGAAAATTAGAGATAAATGAAAGTAAAACATAAAGAACACAGTTGATTTTTGTTAACGCAGTTTGGCCAATAATGCCAGCCTCTGCAACTATAGAGCAACTATAGTTCTATTTATTTCTGTATTATGAATTTATTGGATTAAAGTGTTACAAGCTCTTGATCTCGGCCATTATCTTGGCACGGAACAGCAAAATCAAGAAAACCGTGTCAGGCAATGCTGTTCCGTCACATATGGGTGACTCGGCTGGAACAAGCACAAAAAAAAGATTGGATTCAGAATGACGCCGAGTCAAAGACGCCTCCCCGGCCGCGTCAATCGTAAATGATATTACCCATAAATTTTTGAGGATAACAAGTTTATTTTATTTAATTTTATTGGCATTTGCAAATATATCTTGCTCAAGACTTCTGACTTTTATTTCTTAATATGAATACTTCATGAATTTTGATTAATTTATTTTAGTTTTTGACAGTTATGTATTTATTAATAATATTAACTATATTAGTATCCACATCACTTAAATATCAACCGTTCTACTTCCCGCTCCGGTTCCGCTCCATTTTTAGAGATGGTTGCGCCGTACTGCTATCTGAGATTGATAACATAGGTTACAAGCAATATATATATATATATATATATATATATATATATATATATATATATATATATATATATATATATATATATATATATATATATATATATATATATATATATATATATATATATATAATACTAGGGTTCAGGTTATCTAAAACCCGACAAACATTTATCTCTTTCCAAAATTATTTCAGCCATATTCAACATCTTTACTTTACAATTTGTTCCTTAATTGTATTTTTGAAAGGCCTAGTGATGATCATGGAAATTTATAAAAAAACACATTCGAAATTGGAAAACATTATTCATGTTGATCATTGTTGCATTGCTATGTTTGATGAACAAATCATAGATGAAAAATAATTATCACTATCTTTTTTCAGACGCTAAGAGATTAATTGGTAGAAAGTTTAGTGATCCTCTTGTTCAAAGCGATTCAATGTTGTGGCCATTCAAAGTCATTGCTGGTGATAATGACAAACCAATGATTTCCCTTAAGTATAAGGGTCAGGAGAAGCACCTTTGTGCTGAAGAAATCTCATCTATGATTCTCTCAAAGATGCGGGATATTGCAGAGGAGTATCTGGGGTCACCAGTTAAGAATGCAGTTATCACCGTGCCTGCTTATTTCAACAATTCTCAACGAAAAGCCACTGTGGATGCTGGTTCCATTGCTGGCCTTAATGTTTTGCGGATAATCAATGAACCTACTGCTGCAGCTATTGCATATGGTCTTGACAAGAAAAATGACTTTGATGGAGAACGAAATATTTTCGTTTTTGACCTAGGAGGTGGGACTTTTGATGTGTCTCTCCTTACAATTAAGGGTGATGTCTTTAAAGTTAAGGCCACCGGGGGAAACACTCACCTTGGAGGAGAGGACTTTGATAATAGAATGGTGAACCACTTTGCAGATGATTTCAAGAGAAAGCATCGGAAGGATATTAGTGGCAACCCAAGAGCTTTGAGAAGGTTGAGAACAGCGTGTGAGAAGGCAAAGAGGGCGCTCTCTTTTTCTGTTGTCACTACAGTTGAGGTCGATTCTTTATATGAGGGGATTGACTTTTATTCATCAATCACTCGTGCCAAATTTGAGGAAATCAATATGGACTTCTTTAAAGAGTGCGTGAGAATTGTAGAAAACTGTCTCAATGATGCTAAGATGAATAAGAGTCTTGTCCATGATGTTGTCCTTGTTGGGGGCTCTTCTAGGATTCCCAAAGTTCAACGACTATTGGAGGACTTTTTCGATGGGAAGGACTTATGCAAGAGCATCAACCCTGATGAGGCTGTCGCATATGGAGCCGCTGTGCAAGCTGCTATATTGAGTGAAGGCTTTAAAAATGTTCCAAACTTGATGCTGCAAGATGTTACACCATTGTCACTAGGTTGGATGCTAGAACACAATGTCATGGCTGTGGTGATTCCGAGGAACACTCCCATTCCTGTTATGAAGACTGAGGAATTTTATACAGCTCTAGATCACCAATCCAGCGTCCTTATTGATGTTTATGAGGGTGAAAGAACAAGAGCGAGTGACAACCATTTTCTTGGGTCTTTTTGTCTTTGTGGCTTACCTCGTTATGCTGCAGGCCTTCCTTTCAATGTATGCTTCAATATCGATCAAAATGGCATCCTTACAGTTTCTGCCAATGAAATATTGTCTGGTAGTAAGAATGAGATTGTGATAACAAAAGATAATGGAAGGCTGTCGACCAAAGAAATTGAAGAAATGATTCAAGAAGCTGAGAATTACCGTGTTGAAGATAAGAAATTCTTAAGGAAGGCTGAGTTAATGAATGAATTGGATGACTGCGTTTACAGAATGAAAAACGATTTGAATCTCTCCTCGGAGGAATACCAGCAGATTAATTCTTTGGTCACAATGGCCACACATTTGCTTGATGCGGATGACTCGCAGACTGGAATAGATGTTCTAAAGAAGATTCAGAGTATGTTAATAGCCAACTCTAGCTAGTTTTCTATAATCTTTTTTATCAGTTAAGACTTCGATTATTGTGTTGCAGTTCTGTTACCAGTTTTCTTGTTAAATTCGAGCTGCTTATTGCACTGACAATGGTATATAGAATGCAGTATTTTGATAGGTTCAATTGAAGTTGCTTTTCATTTTGAACCTTTGGATGGACTCTTATTGATATATTAACTCTTAGCTATCAGCAGTGATAGAATAATCTGTTTGTGTACTATTGGCCCTGATGTGTTAAATAATTTGTGTGAACTGAATCTTGATATCTTGAATAGTTAGATTGCTAAAAAAACAAGTCACCAACAATTTAAGCAAGATTCTGTATGAGATAAATTATACTATGTGTTTATTAGTATATACCTAATCTTTCTGAGAAAATTAAGAAATCTTTGAAGGAAGTAAGTGGAAAGAGGCTTAAAAATTGCAACTAAGTTTTAGAAATGGAAAGGAAGGCTCTAAGTTTTAAATAATGGTCGCGGTCGCATAAAGACTTTTGCGATTTCTGTCAGTATATATATTGTGACATTGGTTGTAGTCGTCGCAAGGTAAATTAACTACAAGTTATTCTTTATCATAAAAATGTTGTTGATCCATGTAACCGATTACATTAGGTGGGATGTTGTTGTAACCGTATCACTGTCAGCACCTTTCAATACTATCTTGTTGTTGCTGTTTTTGTAATAACGGACCGTTTTTTAAAGCCTTAGCTGTTTGTTTTGTTTTTCTGCAAATAGTCAAATTCAGATTATTCTTCCTCTTTGTACTTTGACATACTACATAATTGTACATGAAGTCAAAGAGTTGTTTTCATTTCGTATTTCTTATGAACTTGCATTAAAAGAGAACCTTTCAACTGTGAAGGAAATGGTGAAGAATAGGCTCATGGAAGTTGTGAGTATGGGTTTTGCGGTGGGAAGGCCTTATCAGCTATGTTTGAGTTTGATTTTACGTTTGGAGCCGTTTAAAATTGATTATAGAAGTGTAAAAGGGATATATTGGCTAGTTACTTTGGACTACAATTGATTTTTTACTTTAGAATAATTTTAACTTAAAGAAAAAAAAATTGTAACTTTTGATTGTAGAATTGATTTTTATATTTAAATCTATTAATCAACAAATTTTTACTATTTTATTCTCAACTTACTTTTAGCTGAATTTGATAGAGAGTATTTATTAATTATTGATTAGATATTTTAATTAGTATTTTAATATATTTGTTAATATTATATTTTAATTTTTTTTTAAAGTTTTTAGAATTGTGCCATATGAATTGTTATGATGTATTTAGAATTGTTTGTTATCATGTATTTAGAATTCTATATATTAAGTGTAATGTATTATTTTGAGAATCAATTAATAAAATAAAAATGTCTTTATTTTATTTCTTAGTCTTTTTCTTCTTCATCCGCTTGTTCTTTTCCTTATAAATTTTTTAGTTCAATGTCAACGAAACTTTTTAAATATTTTTCACTCAATGTTGTTTTGAAATCTGAATATTTTTTTGAAGTTGTTTGTGATGATGTTTTGAGAAAAAGATGAAAATTTTGAATTTGTTCTTTTAACTTATTTGTAGATCTTTAAAAAATTTCAAAAAATTCATTCAAACAATTTTGAAGAGTTTGTAGTTGGTTAACCGTTTCTGGTTGTGAGTATGGAAGGTGGAGCTGAAATTGTTGTTATAGTTGAATAATATGGATGAGTTAAAGTAGGGGAAAATGGAGGATTAAAGCTATAATATGTTATTGAAGGGAGCACAAATGTTAGAATCCTAAGTATGAACACTAACAAAATTAGAGAAGCCTAAAAAATAAAAAGATAGTAAAAATTATCTAATAAAACAAGGACTTATTTTATTTTATTTTTGATGCGTCATGAAAGAGAGTACTACACTTCTTATCTATTATCTATTATAATATATTAAATTAAAAGTGTATATTTCATTTGTTGACACCTCAACTTCATAAATGTCATATCATTATTATTCTTATATGACACTTCTTAAAATTCATATTCATTTTTCAAAAGATCAAAACATATACTATTCTTTTGTTGAGATCATGAATTCAAATTTGAGTAAAAGCAAAAATATATTAGCAAACAAATTATTGATTTTAATATTTGATTTTGAAATTACAATGCAAAACACTTAGTAATATATTTAAAATTTTCTTTTATATAGATGATATGTTCTAGATTCAACTTATTACAATATATTATCTTATTTTAAGAAATATTTTGAAAAAGATAGATTCAATATCCAATTTGAATAAAATAAACAAATATTTTAGTGTCAAATTAGTTATTAAATAAATTTCAAAAGTTTACCACTATTAATTGTGTGTGCGCGCCTGTTTTTGGATTGGAGTTGTGGTTGATCCACCGTCGAGCACAACCCAACCCAAGTCCACGTTGAGGACGACTTAAAATGTTGGACCTATCCGTTGGAACCAGTGACAGACACATTCCCTATATACTCCTCACCTGAGGACACATCACTAACTGCACCCCCACGCCTCACGTGACTGGCAAAACATTCTTGTCCTTCGTAACAGGCAAGTCCATCCATGATCCAGGAATTACGGGACAATTGACCCAGGATGATGAGCACGAGCTGCTCATCCCTACTTTCACATGAGAATCCTGGCAGTCATCTATTATGGGCCTGGACACTCATCCTATAATGAAGACTATTGGCCAAGCGTTTGAGGCTCACTATAAATACCCTCCTCTACAAGAGGGTCAGGTAATCAATTCTTCACCCTTATTTACTCACCTCTTCACCCGAACTAACTTAAGCATTAGAGCGTCTGCATGTACACCCCCTCCTTTGTTGATTGTTCAAGCCTACATATGCATTGCTGGCCACTCACACTTTCTAATCACTGGTAAGATCAGTGGCGCCGACCGTGGGGACACTATTTGCCCATCTTTTCTTTCCCTGAAACCAAAAAATCAAAACAAAAAACCTCATAAACCGATCATGGTGTTTACTGTGAAATTTGGTAAAAAAAACCGCTAGTCTTCCAATTTTTAATGACTTTGGTTACTTACAGGACCGACTAGATTGATCCTAGAACAACAATGTATATTTTGTGTTTTCTAAGTTTTCTGGGTGTCAATCTCTTCGATGGAGATTGTTACTTCGAAGGTAGTAATAAAATGACTTAAGTAAAAACTAGAATGTAAAGCAATTGCGATTTAAACTTAAAGGGAATATAAAGAACTTCAGTTGAAAAGAAATAACATTGAATATAAAATTGGTGCTTCCTACATACATTCTGAGCAACTCGTTTCTCGAACACTAGGTACTTTGAGTTATTTAGAGTAATTTGTACAAAGAAGTGAACACATCAAATTCAAACATAAAAGACTCATATCTATACTAATCTTAAACGAATGATCTTCTTATCAGAGAATGACACGTTCTCACTTGCATGTACTCGATCCTTTAGATGCCTTCACACGTCTCTTTTCAAAAGGAACAAGTAAGCGCCAAAATTCGAATGTTCAACTTTACTTTAAATCTCTCTTTGTCGAACCCGCCTTAAACATCTTTTGAATATGGGGCTTCAAAATTTTCTCGTTTCCAACAAAAGTATGGTCGAAAATACCATTATATGCCTCTGTCGAAGCATTCTGAAAAAATCTTGATTCTTCTTTTTTATAAAACCTTGATATTCTCATGTAACTTGGAACATCAAATTTCCCAGCTAACAAATTGCCCCCCAAGAATGTCTTTTTCGATCATAATGAGAAAATGACATTTTTTGAAATCTATTCGACGTGTCAATCATTAATGTTGTGACATATAAATGCATGAAGACTTCACTTCCTACTGGTTTTGATAATTAGCAGCATATCATATCATTTTTAAACTTCTCTTTATACTTTTGAAGTGTTTTAGGATTTGTAATGAACAACTAAGCCATTTTTGGCAATCTTTCTATTACCATGCTTGTCTTTTTATATTTGCATTTCGATTACTCTGCTGATATTTTAACTTCCTGAAGTATAGGCTTATTATTTTTTCAAATATTTACCATTTACCCTTAGAAGTCTTTGATCTTCTGCTAACTCTTCGATCTCATAGGCATTGTTCGAAAAGACTTGGATAACTTGGAATAGACCTTCCCAATTTGGGGACCATTTACCCAATTTGTTACTTCGAAGGTAGTAATAAAATAATTTGAAGTAAAAACTAGAATGTAAACAATTGCGATTTAAACTTAAAGGGAATATAAATAACTTCAATTGAAAAGAAATAACATTGAGTATAAAATTGGTGCTTCATACATACATTTTCAGTAACTCGTTTCTCGAACACTTGGTAATTTGAGTTATTTTGAGTAATTTGTACAAAGAAGTGAACACACCCAATTCTAACATAAAAGACTCCTATTTATACTAATCCTAAACGAACGGTCTTCTTATCAAAGAATGGCACATTCTCGCTTGCATGTACTCGAGATCCTTCAAAGGCCTTCACACGTCTCTTTTCAAAAGGAACAAGTAAGCGCCGAAATTCGAATGTTCAACTTTACTTTAAATCTCTCTTTGTCGAACCCTCCTTAAACATCTTCCGAATATGGGGCTTCGAATTTGCCTTGTTTCTAACAAAAGCCTGGTCGAAAAGACCATCATATGCCTCTATCGAAGCATTCTCGAAAAACTCTTGATTCTTCTTTTTTAGAAAACCTTGATATTCTCATGGAACTTGGAACGTCGAATTTCCCAGCTAACAAATTTCCCCCCAAGAATGTATTTTCGATCATAATGAGAAAAGGGAATTTTTTGAAATCTATTCGACGTGTCAGTCATTACTGTTGTGACGTATAAACGCAGGAAGACTTCACTTCCTGCTGATTTTGATAATTAGCAGCATATCATAGCATTTTTAAACTTCTATTTATACTTTTGAAGTGTTTTGGTATTTGTAATGAACAACTAAGCCATTTTTGGAAATCTTTGTATTACCATGCTTAGCTTTTTATATTTGCATTTCGATTACTCTACTGATATTTTAACTTCCTGAAGTATAGGCTTATAATTTTTCAAATATTTACCATTTACCCTTAGAAGTCTTTGATCTTCTGCTAACTCTTTGATCTCATAGGCATTGTTCGAAAAGACTTGGATAACTTGGAATGGACCTTCCCAATTTGGGGACCATTTACCCAATGTTCTACCCTTTCGATCCATAGGTAGGATTACTTTCCACGCCAATTCTCCAATCGAAAAAAATTTAAGCTTAACCTTTTTATTATAAGCTTTCTATACTCTCCTATTCTCCCTCCTTAACAACTCTAAAACATTTAACCTTTCTTCGTCTAGATCAACTAGTTCATCTAGCATCATATTCTAATAGGACTCTGGTGGAATCTCATACTGTCTTTATACCCTGGTTGATTGGAGACAAATTTTGATTGATAATACTACGTCATGCCTGTATGTTAGTCAAAAAGGTGTAGTGTTGGTGGCTTCCTTTGGATATGTTCTACAAGCCCAAAGGATTTGATCCAGGGTCTTATGCCAATTCTTTGGTTTCTTTCTGACATGTTTCTTTATTAAACCAATCCCTACTTTATTTTACGCTTCGACCTGACCATTTGCCTGGGCATAATAAAGTTTGGATTTTAAAAGTTTAATTCCAACCTCTTTGGCAAATTCCTACATCTTTCAACCATTAAACACTGACCCTTGATCAGTTATTATGGTGTCAGGAATTCCAAACCAGTACATTATATTCCTTTAGATAAACTCAATTACTGCTTCTTGATCTGCATTTTCCAAAGGAATGGCCTCAATCCATTTAGTGAAGTAATCTATCCTTACTAAGATGTATCTTTGACCTTTTGAATACGTTGGTCTAATTTCTCCA